ACGCATTCTTAATTAGCTGTCCTAGTAGTAAGTTTGAACCAAACACATGGCTGAGACCATGATTCGAATCCTCTTGTAGTGATTCCTGTACTCCCAATTTTCGTTGTCCCAAAAAAAATAGAAGATCTTATAATGTCTTAAATATCTATGTAGGAAGATGCCATCAAAATTCTTCAAATGCCTCTGAGTAAAAATTGCATGCAAGATAGGCAAATAGAAAGCACTCTGATTAGCAAAGAAACCATTAAGTGGAATGAAGGAGAAGTTCACGTACGTCTGAGTAATTTTGTTGGCATCCTCCTACACTGTCATATTTGCAGGAAGATGCCGATAAAATACTTGAAGTGCTTCTGAGTAAAACTGCATGCAAGAAAGTCTAATCTGGACCAAAACAAACAACGAAAAATTCACTGTCAAATCTGCCTATATATCCTTAGCTTGGGATGTGATTTATGCAAATGAATTCCAGGAATTCATTGCAATAATGAGCCCAGTGTGGAAGGCTATTTGGTTTTTTTTTTTTTTTTGATCAGCCAAAGAAAACTTTTTTATTAAATGGAGCACAAAGGGTGCTCCTGCCTATATACACCACTTAGAGCCTACAATTGAGGAAAACCCACTCCATATAACCAGAATTGAAGCAGCCTAAAAACCCAATCAAAAACCATACCCTCCGGTACCCATACAGCAGACGCTTGGAGCAGATTGTGAACCTCTCCCCCCCCCCCCCCATATTAGCTAGGGGACACAAAAGCCTTAAAGAATTGCTTCCTCATCCTTTTATGCCGTTTAACAGATATTGCACACTCCATCGGACAAGATTGCCATTCATAAAAGGAAAAAACACAGCCATCCACTTTAGACTTTAACCATAAAAAGGTTTTAACTTGCACCCTTTCCAGCAGTTTTACTGGTATGCCTTCATCTTCTCAAAACACTTGAGCATTCCTTCTATACCATACATACCAAGCAACCACCAGAAAAATACAAGAACCCATCTCCTTTCCTACTATTTTGCCCAACTCATATATGAAAAATTCTGCCACTCGCACAACTGTATTGGGCAAAACACTCTCCAAACCCCACCAGTTCAACACCTCTACCCAAACTAGCCATGCTTTATAACATGTACAAAATAAATGGTTAGCCTCCTCCACTATCCCATTACAAAACTCGCAGAATATACCTTCCTCTTGCAACTGCACCCCACGCTTTTAAAGATTTTCCTTTGTTGGAAGCCTATTTAAACACAATCGCCACCCAAAAAAAGCAACTTTGGATGGCACCAACAGAGTTAAGCAGGATGAGGCGGCCTCCAAAGGAAAGAGTAGTAGCCTTCCAGACAGCAAGCTTGGCACAAAATTTATTCACGATCGGCTCCCACACTTTCTTACTTCTAGATTTACCATCAATAGGCAATCCCAAATAAAGAAATGGTGCTCGACCAACCCCACAGCGTAACATTCTCGCTGATCCCTTCAGCCATCTCTTCGACACATTATAGCCATAGACACTACTCTTGTTAAAATTTATCCGCAAACCCGACATAAGCTCAAACCATTTTAAAACATCCTTCACCATTCGTATATTCTCAGCATCCGCTCTGCCCATAATAATTGTATCATCAGCAAACTGAAGTAAAGACACGGACATCCCTTTCTTTCCAATCTCAATCCCATGTACCATTCCCTTCGCCACTGCTTTCTGTACCAAGCCTTGTAACCCCTCACCAATCATCAAAAAAAGAAAAGGAGATAAAGGATCCCCTTGGCGCAATCCTTTACCTACCTCAAATTCCCTTGTCAGGCTTCCATTTACCAAAATCGAAATTCTCGCCGTTGAAAGACACTCAATAATCCATCCTCTCCACTTTGTTCCAAAACCAAAACTATCCATCATCCAATCTAAGAAGGACCAATCTACACAGTCATATGCCTTTTCAAAGTCTGCCTTAAAAACAAAAGCTGGCTATTTCCTGTTCTTTATCTCATCTACTACTTCATTTAGCACCAAAACACTATCCACCAATTGACGGCCCCACACAAAAGCAGATTGAGTATCACTCATTATTTCTGACATCATAGATTTCAATCTATTAGCCAATACCTTCGCTAATAATTTATAGACACATCCAATCAAGCAAATGGGTCTATAATCCTTTAAATTCACAGCATTCAATTTCTTAGGAACCAAGGCTAGAAAAGAAGAATTTAGACCCCTCACCAGTTTACCATTCTGATGAAACTCAGAGAAAAAATTGATGAAATCCTCCTTTATGCAATGCCACGCGAATTTAAGAAAATTGAAGTTGTACCCATCGGGTCCCGGTGCCTTTGAACCATCACAGCTCTTTAAACCTTCCTCAATTTCTTCAACCGAAAATGGTCTCTCTAGCCATTCTTTTTTCTCCTCAGAAATCTTTTGAAATTTAATACCACCGGGCTTGGGTCTATTCCATGAATCACCTTGGAACAAACTTCTAAAATATTTGACAGTCTCCTTTTTAACTGCATTTGGATCTTCAATCCACACCCCATCACACATTAAGCCTGAAATACTATTTTGAGCCCTTCTCCCATTAGCCACTCTATGGAAAAAACGGGTATTTGCATCACCCTCGCGCACCCACTTGCTCCTTGACTTCTGCTTCCAGATTAGTTCCCTTTTTCTCAAACAATCCCACATCTCAGAAAAGCCTTCTTGCCTTTTAACAATCTCGAATTCTTCCAAGTCATCTACCTCATTCTGCATATCAACTTGCTCTATTTTTTTAACAGCCTGCACATACTGAGCTTCCATGTTCCCAAATACTTCCTTGTTCCAGCCTTTTAAAAATTCTTTTAACAGTTTTAACTTTTGTTGGCATTTATACCTTGCAAACCCCTCCACTGCCATCTCTCTCCACTTATCTTCTACAATCTTCTTGAATTCTGGATGTTGTTGCCATGCATCTAAAACTCTAAAAGGCCTTGGTCCCCAATTTGTTGATTTGAACTTCCAAACCATTGCACAATGATCAGAAATATTCCTTGGCAATCCCTGTTGTCTCCACTCTCCTCCCATATTAGTCAACAAGAATCTATCCAATCTAAGCGAGAAACTAAGTACTCAGATTGTAGGTTGATATCTTATGAATTATCAGACAAAATTTTAACAAAATGACAAAACTGCATACTAAACCTGCTGAAATTCTCATGTTTTCTCCCATCTTTTTTACACTGTCAGCTCCACTTTCACATCCTTACTACCATCCAAAAAACAGGCCCCCTTTTTTGTGCTTAACGGGCTACTAAATCATTAGTTTAATGTGGGCTTACCCCACCATACTTTCATTTCTTCACATAATAGAGATAGGCGTAACCCAACCATAGGTTGGTAAGTTAATATATGAGTATAT